TGGATATGGGGAGACCTAGTGAATTTAGTTTGGCGATTAAAAATCTATGATTAACAGAATCGAATGCTTTGGAAAAATCAATGAAAACGCAGCTAGTTTGATCGTTTTTGGCTTTAGCTAGAAGTCAGTCATGCGCACAGAGAACTAGCTCGTCGGAGGTAGAGCGGTTTTTGAGAAAGCCGAATTGATTTTTATCAATTAGATTATGTTCATTTAGATAGTGAATAATGTGGTCGCGAATAATTATTTCTAAGACTTTACAAATGGAGGAGGCAAGCGCGATGGGTCTATAATTTGCAAGCGCGTTCCGATCTCCTTTCTTAAAAAGTGGCGAAATCGTTGAGTCTTTCCAAAATTTTGGGATCTTAGCCGTTAGAAGTGACAGATTAAAAAGTTTAGCAAGTAGTGGTGATATTTGAAACTTAGTTTCCCGTATAACAAAAGAGGGAATTCCGTCTGGGGTGTAAGAAATCTTATTGCTAAGCTTACTAATTGCTGTTTCGACCAGTCTTGGTGTGACGATTAGGGCTGCGCAAGTATGTGCTGGGGCGGGAAGAACAGGGATGCAACTACCATCGTCAACTGCAAAAACGCTAGAGAAATATTGAGCAAAGGAATTAGCAATTTTGTGATTTTCGAGAATCAACGAGTTGCGAAGGGGGTCAAATATACATTTAATAGAGGAATCGTGGCTTGGATTGATCTTAGAATAGACGTATGAGTAAAAAGCTTTGGGACTAGGACTAAAAACGGCTTTCCGTTCAATATTGGCCTCAAATTTCTTGACAAACTTAGCTAGCTTGTTTTCTAGATATGCGTAATGGGGGGAATCGCGATAACGCCAAGCTGCTTCTAACCTTTGCCTAGCTCGAGATATGTGACTGGGGTAAGAAAAGGTAGACCTGGTTGAAATAGGTACATTTTCGTCCAACAGCGATTTCATCTCTTCAAAGAAGTCGGCATAACACTCGTTGATGTCCATCTCTAATCGGGGAAGAAACCTTGCATTGAAGAGCGCTAAAGAAAGACAGACAGAACCGAAATTACCTCTCCAAAAGGCACGGTTACCTTCATCCGGTCCTTTTAGAGAGGTAAAATGATGCAGAATTAAATTAAAAGACATAGAAAAATCGTCGGCACCACCAATGGGAGGACATGGTGAAATAGCTGAAATTAAATGAGGGGAGTCGGTTAAAACTAGGTCTAAAATATGCGAACTTTTCCTGAAAGTAGGGAATTTGTTTAAAATTTCTAAGCTGTTGGTTGACAGGAAGTTTTCTAAATGTGGAAAACGCGATAAATTAGGTAAATGTCCTAGTTTTGAAACATTCTATTAAATCCATGACCAAGCGGCGGTGTCTAAGAGATTTAAGATCAAAAATTTTGAGTCTATCTGTGTAACTAAAGTATGCAAATTTGGAAAAATCTATTTTCCATAGAGCTATCTTAGTATATCTCTGCTGGATTTTTTCTAGGCGAGAGATATCAACTTGTGTATGTGGAGACCAAACTATAGATGCATACTCTAGAATGGGTCTAACGTAAGTGATGAAACACTTTCTGTAAGTTTCAATTTTCGGATAACAAATTGCTTTTAGGATACGACTAGAGACAAAAGAAGCTTTACGGCAAATAATTAGACAAACTCTCTGAATTTACTAAACTTTCCGCATTCAAAAAAGATGTTTATTTTTGGAGACGTGATTTCTCTTTTTTATTCAGTCCGATGGAACACTCAAACGGTCACCCGTGAAATGATTGATTGATAAACGTGTTGATAAAAAAGATAAAAGTGGTTTTGAAACCGACTCGGAAGATTGAGACCGACTCGGAGACGTTAAGCGTGATAAAAACTGTGTTCCATCAATATTTCAGAGAACAAAGAATCTTCTGCGCTTTGATATGCCGTTTAGAGGGGAAAACTCTTATCGAGGCCAAGGATCCAGTTTGGAATCGGTTTGTTGCTGGAATCATTTTGACTCATCGGATCAGTTATAGCTTTATTTTAAGAATCTATGTAGGATTTACACTGAAGATGACTATAACATTTTTTTCTTCAAGATATTCTTCAAGATTTTCGACCAGTTGAACACAAAAACTTCTCCGAAGAAACATCTGCTCCGAAGAAAACTTAGACGTCAACTTGAATAGTTTTGCCTCTGGGACCGAATCACTGTGCACCTATAATTCTGCCACAACCTGTAATTTAATTTTGTTAAACAGAAACTCTCATAGAATGAGTCCCAACGAGTGAACGTCACTAACCAAATACAGGGTTACCAGTAAGTAAGGAAACCGATTTGAAGCTTTGTCCTGGACTAAGCTTTTCTTTCGCAAATAGAGCTTTGCTACCATCGGTTCTGATGAATTGCGGCAAAAGCTAGATTTAGCAGGTTTCCGTGTATTTTTTGGAAACTTTGATTTATTTTTGTCAGGATAAAATGGTGTTGGAGAAGGAAGTGGCCTGGCCACAACAATTGCCATTTGCGCTCACATCAATCCACATCACCGCCTTTTTGATGGCATTGTTGCAGGTGACACTAAAAGAACTTCAATTCTATGAATTTGAACCGGCTTATATTCAATTTGTAACAAAAACTGTAGCAATTTAAAACTGAATTCTAGTAAACAAACTTGAGAATACGGTGCATAAAGTGAATTTCAGGAGAATCATTTGCTTTTTGATTACTATTTATTCCGGACCATGAGTATTCCGGACCACAATTCCGGACCATGAGCTTACGGGAGAACACTTCGATTCGGAAGAAGCAGTCAAAAATTGGCTTTGAAAGTTTTTCGATTCAAAACCAAAGTCAAGGGTATTCGTAGTAAGTTCTATATTGATTTTATTTAGGTCTCTTCCCTTTTTAAAAACAGTTTATTATTTTTTAGCCAACGTCGTGCAGAACCTGCTGTCAACTTACCGGGCTCCTCACCGGCATCTGTCTTCCGCCGGTCAACTGCACTTGCTCGTTGATTTGAACCAAATGCACCTTATATGCCATAATTTCGAATTTCGCCAATACTGCCACCTAATGTAATAACGGTTTTCTAAATAAATCAATGATATTAATGTTTATCATTCAACTCCGATAAAAATCCGATAAAAAAAGTCGATATTAATATTAGGTGTGTGAAAAAGTAATCCACGTTTTGAACGTTTAAATATAAAAGACCATAAGTTTCGTTAAAATAATTTTTATTCAACGAAGTAATCAGGATTCGAAAGAAGAACCTTTTGCCAACGTTCTACAAGTAAAGACATTCCACGATAATAAAAATCTTGGTCCTTAGAGGCGAAGAAAAGATCAACCTCGGCTTTGACATCTTCTTCGGAATTGAACCGTTTATTGGGCAAAAATTTAGACAGAGACCAAAATAAATAATAATCATATGGAGAAAGGTCTGGACTATAAGGTGGATGTGGTAAAACCTCCCATCCAACACTCTGGATTTTTTGTCGAGTCTGTAAAGAGACATGTGGTCGCGCGTTATCGTTCATGCGGCATCCATTTGTCCAACTTTTTGATAAAATTCATGGCATTCAAGCGTTTCCTTACGGTTGACCCATCACAATTTAATGTAAGGCATATTTCTCAAGAGGTTGAACGAGGGTTTTCGAGAAGACAGCGTCTTATTTGGTCATCAGATAACAATAAAAAATGTGGATTACTTTTTCACACACCTAATAGAAGCCATTACAATAGCAAAAAAATTAAGTGCGGATCAACAATTAAATGATTAAATGAACATAAATCTAGACAAACAAAATTGGGTCAAATTATCTTGAGTTCTACGCTACAAATTTCCAACAAAGTTTCTGTAATGTTACTTTGGTTTGGTGAACGGGTTCAGCATGTCAAATCAGCCAAATCATTCGGCATTTAACTTTTTTGATATTCTAAGTTTCTGAAGTTTAATGATCAACATTAATATCCTTTATTTATGTGGTGTGGAGGCCGTTGTCTTGCAGAACCCATGCCCGGGACTTTGAGTAAATTGCGAGCGTCGTGTCCACGATGTTGATCAGCTCAGCCAACACTATTTGCATGAAATATCCATGTCAACTTGCCTGTCGCCTCACCGGCATCTGTCTTCCGCCGTTCAACTGCACTTGCTCGATAATTTGAACAAAATGCACCTTATATGCCATAATTTCAAATTAAGCGCGGATCCAAATGAACACAAATCTAGACAAACAAAATGGGTCAAATTATGTTCAGTTCTACGCTACAAATTTCCAACAAAGTTTTCGATATCTTGCTTTGGGTTTGTAAGCGTTTTGAGGGTGTTCCTTGCATTAGCTTTGATTTTAAATTTACTTCAATGATAAAAGGGTGTTTTCAAGAGTTTCGCTCAAATAGACTAGTTTTTATTCGAATCAGATGTTCGTATATTTTACAATGCACTCTAGTCAACGTTTGCAACTAATAAAGACAGTTCATTTTGCCTCACTAATAAGCCAATTTCAAATTCTTGGTGTCGTTTTGAGTATAATGCCATAAGCCGTATATCAGAGCTGCAGAAAATTACCTACATTCAGCTACTGAATATTCTCTAGCATTGATGGATCAAATTATTATGTAGGTAAACTATTATCACATTCAGATTCAATGCAGCAGCCTAAAAACTTTCCGTTTACTTTTATTTTTGATCCACCTAGTTCAAAAATGGTCGAGTCTTTAGACCGAATCATAAAAGTGTACAAAAAACGTTGGTTGTCGTGACGATCTCGTGATCGAGGTCGCCACGTATGGAAATGGCCAGCTGGAAATGGCCTAGACACCTATGTGGACGAGCGCCTATTGTGCGAGATTTAATATGCGTCGCTATCCGTTTAACTCCATTGTGTGCAAGACGAGACCAACGCCTGAGTTCCATATAAAAGCAATGTGAACGAGCTGCCGACCCAACCATTGACAGCAGCCCTCGACTTCTCATTCAATCTACTGAACCTCCTCAACTCTCGAATGCGCTTCTTCGCCCTCATCGTTGTTTTTATGTGTGGTGGGTCTTACTTTGAATAAAACAAAACTGTCCAACAACCACTCATCTAGATTAAAAGTTTCTTTTCAATTTATTCGAATAACCTACAAGCACAGAGTTTTAGTTGGGTGCATCGCGATCCTTCCAGCGATGCCCAATCCAGAGTTGAAAGAGCTTAATAGTGTGGAGGCCGAGGCCTTGCGGGCGCCATGCCCGGGAGCTTGCAATGTGAGTAAATTCAAGTTTATCTTTTTAAATTAATGATTTTTTGATCTATTTATTCATTCGTTTTGGGTCTACTTTAAGATCTGAACCATTTTTAAAAACAGTTTGTGATTTTCTAGCCAACGTCGTGCAACACCTGTTGTCAACGTGCCGGTTACACCGCCGGCCTCTGTCTCCCGCCGATAAACTGCATTTGCGTGCAAGTTTGAACCAAATGCACCTTCTACGCCATTTTTATGATAAAAATTCTTAGCTAACAATTACAAACTTACTGAAAACTGTTGTTATACTATACTTAACTGGGTATCACACGGAGACAAACTTGGATCTTGGAGAAATGAAAATCCCGGATTGGATCTAGATTAGGGTTTTACCCGGGATTCCGGATCTGAATCGGGTCGCCCAGCCCTGGTCGTCTTTCCAATTTACCTGACTGTAAAACTGGGACCATCGTTCGTCACTGATGAATACACAGAGCAAAAAGGGCTCTGGAGCAAAGCAATTGAGCAAACCAATTGAGCAAAGCAAAAATGAACAACCTGAAATGCGCAATTAAAACACTAACTTTAAGAGCAATGTGCAGAGAGCATGAAAATGATATTATTGCATTCTTTTTCTTCACAATCGCGCTTATTTGTTTTGTTAAAGAGATACTCCGTCGGAGTCTCCCGAATGTTGAGGGATGTATCCTGCTCGGAACCATGAATATCGACGAAACTTGAAAAATACTGAAGCTTTAAGCTGCTCATACACAACTGAAAGAACTTTAATGATATTGTCTCGCTTGCTGATCTTGAAATCCGGTTTGCTGACTCGAATGTGATCGTGAATTTTTCCATTACGCCTTTAAATTGTTGAAAGAAGTAAACATCCAATGGTTCAACGAGTCCTGTACACCCCCTCTTAAGCTCGCCTTCTCAATCATTAAATAACATTATACAAACGGGAAACAAAGCTCACTTGGAGTCCCCCTTCCCCTTTCACTCATTTGTAAAACCAGTAGCGTTTTGAACGAGCGTAACTCGGATTTTCTAAGTTGACACGCTATAGTGTGGACTTTCTACCAACAAAAAATGAAAAGACTATAAAAAGGAGCCACTTTTTGTCTAGAGAAATTAACTCTTCTTCTCTTTTTGCCTTTTCTTTTAGCTTCTCTTTCTATAAGTGTTAGAGATGGCGGGATATCAAAAGGATCGACTCTCATTAGCTTAACCCAAATTCTAGTCCATATCCGTTTACTCCTAGGAACGAACAAAGGCATAAAATGATAACACAAAGCTTATCTACTAAAATCTCTCGCATTAAAACCGTAAAAACCGAGGAATAATTGGCCAATGGCAAAATGAATTGCTTGAAAATTGTCAAATTGTCAGAATTGCTTGAATCACTGGATTACGATAGTTTTCAAAAGTTGCTCCGTTTTAGTCAAGAAGAGCACTCAAGAAGAGCACATTTTGCTAGGTGACAATAGTTGACCTCTTTTTGCTATTGGCCTTGAATTATTTCTAACTTTGGCCATGAATTATTTCGACCGAGAAAAACGACCGAGTTTTTACGGTTTTAAAGAGTAAACAAAGTCCGGTTATCTTAACTTTTACCTAATATTTCACACCTCTTTATCGGAGTGATTTTTTTTGTTTTGAAATCCGATTGAAAGAATTTCCTGTCATTAAATTCGCCAAGTTTTTTTCTGTTGATTGAACTCCGTTCCTGTTTGTTTAAAACTGTTTCTTATCACTGGAGAAAAGATAAATTCACACCTTCACCAATTCACCCCGCTTCACATAATGATAGCCGCACCGCGCAGTACTAAAAATGCTTTATTAACAACAAAAAATAATGATTGAGCGACAATTTCTAATCCAACGGTTGCACTCCACTGAATTAGCAGTTGCATTCCACTGAATTAGTTCAAAAACTCGATTATTCAAGCGGTGATGGAAGTTATCGATCAATTTTTAGTCGGCCTGGTCGATAATGACGTCGATAATGACGCGTCGATAATGACACGTCGATAATGACGCGTCGATAATGACGCGTCGATAATGACACGTCGATAATGACACGTCGATAATGACAGGCTTAAGCATCAACGTTTCAATACGTCTTGTTTCTGTCGTAAATTTTGCGACCCATAAATGCCCATACGTTTTCGATAAAATTCAAGTGAGGAGAACAAGCCGGCCAGGAGAGAAGGGATTCTCTTGCATTGCAACCATTCCTATGTGCGACGAGATCTGTGAATCGAAGCACTATCCTGCATAAAAATTATACTTTTTTTTGCGATTCTGGCGCTAAAAAGGCGAAATTCCTCGGCAAAAGGCGAAATTCCACGTTGCAAGGCCAATAATCCGATTCATTCATCTTCTTTGAAACAAAGCATAACTTCTTGTTGATGGAGTGTGGAGCAGCTTTTATTATAAAGAATGTATAGAGAAGATAATCATTCCACTTTACGTCATCTCACTTTTATTGTATAGCAAATTCCTCACGTTTACGAACTAAAATTGGAAGGGAAATGAGTGATGAAAAGAATTTCGACTGATAAGAATTGGAAGCTTTAGGCAAAAAAAAAAGTTGCAGCGTTTGCAATATAGGCTGTTTACATGAACTGTTTCTTATCATAAGAATTCAAAAAACAACTACCCACACCGATTTTGTTTGCTTGTCCATTTCCGATTTTGCTTGTCCAAAATTCACAAACCATTGAAATGAGTTCTTCGGGTTCTTCTGTCGGCCAGCGATCTCATAGCTCGACTCAAAGTTGTCCAAAGTGTTCATCGGGTCCATACTGTATTAAATGTGGCTTTCATGGATATGAGAATTTCTATGAAACGGCATCCTCATATGGTAAGTGAATTGATGCTTAATAGGAAGAAAAGTAGTGAATTTCAAGCAATGGATTTCAAGCAATGGATTTCAATCACTGAATTTCAATCACTGAATTTCAATGAGTGAATTTCAATGAGTAAATTTCAAGCAATGAATTTCAAGCAGTGAATTTCAATCGGTGAATTTCAATGGGTGCATTTCAATCACTGAATTTCAATCAATGAATTTCAATCAATGAATTTCAATTAATGAATTTCAATCAGTGAATTTCAATCACTGAATTTCAATCAGTGAATTTCAAGCAATGAATTTCAATGAGTGAATTTCAATCAATGAATTTCAATCAATTTCAATCAATTTCAATCAATTTCAATCAATTTCAATCGACTCTAACTAATAAGCTCGGTAAATCAAACCAGAGAAATCTCAAAACAACTAATTCCAATTAACCTGACCTATTGTAGCTTTATTTATTCAGAAAGCAGAATATCCCATCACTCACATCACTCGAAGGCTCCCTATTTTCGTGTTCCGCAATGTCGACCGCCTTCTCAATGCCCATTTCACTCTTGTGTATGTTTTCAGCTCAGAAAAACTTGCTGATCAATTGAAAAATAGAAAAAAGTTGATTTGTAGTTATTTTGTATTTTTAAATGAGTTTAGTGTATTTCAAATGAGCTTAGTTTCAGCTAACTATTTTAGGATGTCCAGCAAACAACCTGGCCACAATTGCGCCGATCGGAGAAGGTCACGACAACTTAGTAGTTAATAATTCAAATCTTGAGACCTTCTTGATCATATTTTCAACGACTTTCCTTATTGAGAACATTGTGCAATGGAGCTTCTACAACTTGCCTGAACTTGGAAGGTAAAAAGAGATAAAGAGTACAAATGTCAGAAAGCTTTCTCAGAAAAAGAGCTGAATGAATGAGCTGAATGAATGAGCTGAACTATTGAATGCCTACTTTGAAATCTTTCAGACCACTTGAAGAACAATTCTCAAAAGATCCCCTTGAGTTAATCCACACCTTCTTTGGCACCATCATTCTCATCACTTATCTCTTCTTCTGGATGTTCGGTGTCTACTCAATTTTGCTGAAAAAACGGCGATTGCTCTTTGTGTTCATAGCGTATTTGGTGGGTTAAAGAAAAAGGAATCTTTGATAAATTAATAGATTACAATTACTTTATAAATAAAAAGGAACAAATTTTCAGCTTTCTAGCCCAATTCGTTGTAACTTACTTTCTAGCACGTAGTTTGCGTTAACGTATTTTGTATTTTCGCGTAGGCGTGACAGACGGACGAACGGACTATTTTTTTCTTTATAGTAGATTTAGTTTCTCAGCTATGATTAGTAAATCATCCGACAAACTTCCGACAACGCGTTTTCTAAAAGGTGCGCTTTTTAAGCAAAGCTATAAAAAGCCGCGCGAAAAAAATGTGCAAAATTTTTCTTAAAATGTAGTAATAGATAGTTTTATTTAAGAATTTCGGTTTTGTTTAGGGTGTGGAATTTGTTTTTGAATCGTTCTAGTGCAAATGTAGACAATAGGCCTAGTAAATTCGTAAATAATACAGCGTTTCTTAACTTTTTCTGTGTTTGATGTTTTCTTGAATTTTGTTTTCTTTCTGTTTTCTTGAAAAAAACGAGAAAAACGAAGGAAAATCGCGAAAAGCGGCGGAAAGGCTATGGATCTGAGAGTCGCTGGTTCGACCTCCACCGGTGACAATATTTTTCAAAACTGTTTTGCTAAGATTCTGAAAATGCGTTTCTAGGGGTTATTTTTGACGCCGATCACGAAACACATGTTTTTAGCCTAGGTTTCTGCACGGAAAACTAACGAAACGTGAAAACAGCGATTTTTTTTGCTCTGCCGCCCTTTACTAAAATAGCTGTAAAAACTTTTAGAAAAAAGATATCTCAAAACGGTTTTTACCAATCGATCCGTCTTGAATTCAGCTTTAGGATGAGCTATAAAACGTCAAAATTGGACAAATTTAAGGTATTCTCCCAAAAAAATCGGAAAGGACTTTTCCATCAACCCAATAATAATAAATAATAGAAGTTCTTCAAGAGCGTTTCTTAACTTTTTGTTTTTAAATGTTTTCGTTAATTTTACACAGCATTTTAAAATTTTTAAGTTTAAAATAGTTTGCAATTGCTTTATATTTATAGATTTATAAGAGTAAAGGCAACGATCACTAGAACTTACCCTATTATTGGGAGAAGCATCCATTTTTCTCTCACAATCACACTTTTCTTTTCTACGCGCTACTCTACAGGGTGACCAGAAATAACGTTGCGGCCTAATTTAGCCTATTTTTTAAAAATTCAAAAAGATTTTGTAACAGAGACAATTTTTTATTAACAGCATGATATAAAGAGAGCATAAAATCTACTTTTCTTCAAAATGGCCACCTTTGGCTCCGATGCAGAGCCTCAAACGCTTGATGAAGTTTTTGGCGATGGGCCGCAGCTCGGCCGGAGTGATTCGATCCCATTCCCTGGTCAACGATCGCTTAAGAGCCTCCAAACTTTGGCGGGGTTTTGCACAAGCCCTTGCCTCCAAAATTGACCAAACACTGTAGGAGTAAATAGTAGGAATTACCAATTTAATCTGTTTGAAAAAGAGTAAAAGACAAAAAGTTATGGAAAGAGTAGTAGAAAAAAAAGTGCAAGACATTTAATGCACATTTGCATTTTAAAAAGTTTCCTTAGGGAAAAGCATAGGGTTACGGTAGCTTATATTTAGCGCGCGCTTTTTAGAAAACGCGTTGTCTGCAAGGAACACACTCTACTTGTAAGTCTATTTGGGTCGCTTGTTATTTCCCCTAGTTGTTAGCCTTTAACCTTCTCAAAAACTCAATCCATTCAACGGCTTTATTCCACAAAACTATCCCGCTTTTTGTCTTTCAAAGCGGATTTCCCCGTTCCGATTCCCGATCTCATCACCATTTTCATTCTTTTTATCCTTTTCTTCACTTTGGTCCCTTTCATTTCATCTTTTCCCCTGCATTTGTTCAATCCTCTTTTTCTGTTGTGTCGAAGAGCCGTAAACGGCGCAATTTGTTCTCCCCCATAAACATCACATTTGGCTCAACGTTTTCTTGCTTTTTCACCCCTTTCCCCTTTCCCCGTTTCCTCATTACGTTGGTCTTGAAATGACTAGATTCACACCTACACCCACCAGTTCTTTTGCTCTTGTTTTTTCTTGTTCTTTCCAAGAGCTTTCCTTCTACTTTCATAGCTGATCAGAAATATTCTCAAGAAAATACAAGAAACTTTAAATCTATTGGTCCTTTTTGACTTGGATATTGGATATTTTGGAGCTTGGAGAGCCTGAACCTATTGGGATTGGGATAAAAAGCTCATTGGGATAAAAATCTTATTGATATCCCTCTAAAGTAAGCCAAAAATCCCAGCTTCTTACTTTGAATACAGCTATCGCATTTTGAATACAGCTATCCTAAACTTTACAAGGCTGAAAGGCATTCTATGATTCAATTCAATGACCGGACAAAAAACTCTAGTCAACTTTCAAACAATTCGAGTTATTCACCGATGAAATGTATTTGGGTTATAGGTTTAGAATCAGGCAAAATATGAATCCTATGCTATCCTAACTAGAAAATGGCGCCAACTAGAAAATCAGTTTAAATTCAGTTTAAATTCGGCATTTTTAAATCGAACCTAGCTTATCTGATAGAGATTTGAACGCTGATTCCAAATCTGTTTTTAGTTTCACTAACGGAGCCCTGTATCGCTAGTTATCTGGCAAAGAAGTTTAGGTCGCATTTAGAGTTTATATAGGTCTTCTTGCTTCCCGACAAACGTAGCGGCGTAGTGTAGTGGTTAGTGTGGCCACGTGCGGCCCTTAATGAGCCTGTTTCGAATCGGGTCACCATCAAATCTTTTGTTTTCTTGTTAAAACACTAAAAACCATTTTTAAGTATTTCAAAGTGTCTGGAAAAAGGTTTAGATTAGCTCTGAAAATGCGACTTAAACTTTTTACAGTATGCTTCTTTTTCGTGTTATTTAGGCTTTAAGACCTGCTCTTTCTAATAGAAAAAGGTTAATAATTTTAGCGGTGGTCAAAATGCAAAATCCGCTATTTTAGAGGGTGCGTTTAAGAATTTGAAACGCACTGTATTAACGCTGAAAATGCGACTTAAACTTCTTTGCCAAATAACTGAGATTCTCTTTTTTTTGAGCTATTGATCATGTCAATCCGGTAGATTTGAAGCAAGTTAGAAGCAAGTTAGAAGCAAGATAGAAGCAAGATAGAAGCAAGATAGAAGCGTTCGTAGTTTACGTTTGTAGTGCCCATATCTAGTTCAGTTCTATCAAATACCCTTTCACCATTTTATTTCATTTTACTCATTGAAAACTGAACTTTACGGAACCTCGACTAATTTTCCTCCCATCCAAGCAAACGTTAGCCACTTCTTGTGTGCCAAAAACCAATTATCGAGAAAGGAACCCATTTTACGCAGCCATCTCGAAATAAGCCAAAATTACGTACTCTCTTAAACTGATCGAATCTGTGAAGAAGTGTCTTCGTAAATGAAACAATACACTTGGCAACGTGGGGATCCCGTTGAAGTGGGACTCGAAGTGGAAGTGAGGAGAAGAGAGGGGTTTTCGACGAGTTGAGAGGGGATGGGTGTCGAATAATTTCATTCTTGTGAGTCCCCCGTCGTCTTCTCTGGAAGCCGACACTTGTCTCCCCCTTCTCTCCATTGCCCGTCTTTCCTCCATTTTCTTCCATTTCCATTGCCTACTCCTCTTGACTCCTTTTCTCGACTCGTCTCTCCGAGAGTTGTCAAATTTAGAGTGGTCTTCGTCGTCTTCTTCAAAAAAATCTCCTTGTCGCATTTTCAGCAAAAATTTTCTTTTATATCTGATTTCCGAATACGAATTTAGATATATATTTCTTGAATTTGCCTTAGCTTTTAAAAATTTCATGGATTTTAGCACCTTAAACTTGCAGAATCAAAGTTTAGAATGAAAAAGTTTCGTACAGAAATCAATCTCATAAATCTCGTGTGATTTTCAAATCTTTTCAAATCTTAATCACTTTTAAAAGCTCTTTCCTTTTCATAGAGTACTCCTTTAATCAAGATCGATTTTAAAATTGACCTAATTTCATCTTACAAAGGAAAATCAATTGACTGAGCCAGCGAAATGCTATCCGACCTATGCCATTCGATGCAGAATTTTATGCTGATTCCGAATACCGTATTTTCTGTAATAGTAGTGCGCGCTACTATGTTTTCAAACCCCCTCCAGCCTGCACTACTATTACAGACTGCAATACTATTACAGACTGCACTACTATTACAGAAAATACGGTATATATTCCGTTTTTTCCCTTGCAAAACTTCCAGCTCTAAAGAGTTGAAGAGTCGTAATCGAATCTCATGTTTTAACTCTTGTTTCACTTAAGAAAAGAGGCCTGGTAGCAAAAAAGTAGTTTAGAAAGAACCCGAACAGCGAGTGGGAATCGAACCCTCGACCTTCCGCTTTCCGGGCCATCGCTTTACCATTTAGCCAACGGCAACTCGAACTCTAACCTTACTTAAAAGGAAAGATCAATTGGCTGAGCCAGCGAAATGCTAAACGCTATGCGACCTAGACCATTCGATGCAGAATTTTATGCTGATTCTGAAGATATATTCTGTTTTTGCTAAATGACAATCTGCCAGGAGTTATAAGCGTCTAAAGTTTTGTTAGGACTGGGGGTTTTATTTGGGTTTTAGCGGCCTCTTTGCGGACCCAACTCGGTGCCACCGTGGTCGAGTGGCACAGCGTTCGTTTCCAGAGCGAGACCTCACCAGTTCGACCCCCACTTTGCCATAGATGCCCTAGGTTTTCAAACAAAGATTGATAGCTTTTTGGGAACCAGTTGCCCAATCCCGTGGTAAAGATGGCGCCAATTCTAGACTTTCTAGTGAACGTCTAGAACGGGGCACAATTGAACGAAATTTAGGAGGAATGCTATAGACATAGTACATCCCAAAGGGGTTTACAAGTTTGGCTTTACAATAAATCATATCTACCCACGAGAATGTGCACAAAATGTGCTTGAAGCGCAGAAAGGTGCAATGTAATGAAGGTTTTCAAAGCGAAAAGACAAAATTG